TGATGCTTCAGACACAGCAATTGCTAATTATACTTCTTCCTTTATACTTTCCAGCTCACTAATATTTAGCTTATTACTGTTGATTATGTATCTCGTTTGGTTAGCCAGTGTTTTCGAGTTTATGTGAGGGAATAGTGTTGGGTTCTGTCTCCGCCATAATCTATATAACATAACATCTTTGTACTGTTCAATCGTACATTTATGTCTTTTTCTCTTACTTAAGTCTGACAATGTTGTTTCCATACCATATGGGCCAGGCTGAGGGTTTATTTCGAATAGGGTACCATCTATGTTTATTTGTTTATTTTCAGTGGGTGACTGAGGATTTCGCTTGATGACGACCTGAGGCACACCAAACCTCCTGCCGAACGGGTCAACGGCCATTGAGCAGCCAGTCCCGTTTACGTTGTTTTGGTTTCCGAGGCCAGTTTCCGAAGTTCTCTCCATTTTAACGGATGTACCAGTTGTTCCAAGGGAGTTTTTTTTTGTTGTTCCCTTCATTCCGACAGTATTGTCAACATTCATGGGTGACCGCGCCAAATAGTGAAACTGGTAAACCTCTAAGCGCGCAATGAAGGGTCACTGGCTGTACCGTCTTTCCCAGTTGTTATTACGATAGCGGCTTTGACATTGCCGGCAACAGTGCCCTAACCTGCCAGACAGATTTATTATTATTATTATTATTATTATTATATCATTATTATTATTACCATTATTATTATTATTATTATTATTATTATTATTATTTTATCTGATTTCACGACGGGATGTCGGTGTTTTTATGATAACTCAGGACTCGACAAGAGTCCTCAGAGGTTCTCACGTTATGATCTTCCTAAGAATGCATGCTGATCCTAACATTGCAATTTTTTGGACTTCGTATATACTAGGGTGCCCAGGGATCTGTTCTAAATATCTATGCACCCCCTTTTTTATGGTTCCGAGTGTACCAATTATTACTGGGACTATTTTTGCTTTAACGTTCCACATGCGCTGGATTTCAATCAGTAGGTCTTTGTATTTAGACAATTTTTCTGCCTCCTTCAGAGTGACATTGTTGTCGTCTTTCAAGCTATGTCAATGATGATACATGTTCGATCTGCTGTATTGTGCACCACTATGTAAGAATGATTTGCGCATATGGTACGATCTGTGATGATGGGATAGTCCCACAAAACAGTATATTGCTGGGTGTTGACAACAGGCTCAAGTAAGTTTGTGGTCGTACCAATTACCAGAGACTTCTGCTTGTAGTTCCTTGCATATCTTCCAATGCACATAACTAGCAACCCTGTTATGTCGGTATGTATATTCAGTGGATGCTAGCGTTGAACATCCCGCAAGTACATGCTGTATTGTTTCGTCTTTACCATGGATACCCAGTATTCTCCTTTGGTGGAATATGGTATTTATCGCCTGATCCTGCGCGACTGAAAATAAGGCTTTCCGTACCTCCTTTTAAGTTTGGACTATTTAACCAGGCAAGGCTTGCTGCTCGGTCTATGTGCGGTTATTCTATGTTTCTGAAGTACTGGCCATGGAGAGGTTTGCTTTTAACTCGTTCTTCTCTCATTTGTTCGATGTTCCTTTTTAGTATATGTAACTTCCTCTGAATAGTTTGTACCTCCTTTGCAGTACTCTCATGATGAGCCGATTGTATGTTATATTAGTCATGTATACTTGAGGCTGTCTTGATTACTGAATATTTTGCTTTGCTTTTTTCGTGAATTGTTACCATTCCCATGAGTCTGTCCGGCTCCTTCTCAATATAGTCGCTCAGATTAACAATGGCTATGTCATAGGCCGTTTCGAGTTCGACCAATCGCCGTCCTCCTTTCCGTTTGATATAAATACGATCGGCATCGGCTTTCGGGTGGTGCATTCCGTGCATTGTGAGAAGTTTTCGCGTTTTCCTGTCGATTCCCCTTATTTCATCTCTTTTCCAGTTTATAATGCCAAAGCTGTACGTGGGGACAGGCACTGCTAAAGTATTGACGGCATTGATTTTATTTTTTGCGTGCAACAGTATTTTGAGAACTAGACGAACTCGACGGAAGTATTCTTTTGAAATCTTGGATTTCATTTGTTCATGTTGTAAGTCCTCTCTCTCATCGACTCCTAAGTATTTGTATACATCCTCCTGTTCCAGGTTCTTTATCGACCCTTATTCTAACTGGGTGTTGCGGTTATGTGAGAGCTTGCCTCCTTTTAGTGAGACAGTAGCACATTTGACCAAGCCAAATTGCATTCGTATGTCGTCACTGAATGTTCTGATAGTGTTAATGATTTGTCTCATTTGCTCGTCGCTTTTACTGAATACCTGTAAGTCATCCTTGAAAGATTCCTCGTCGAATTGATATCCTTCCCGCATGGATTATTCCATCTTCGTGTGATAGGTGAATGTTTGAACTCCATCGATCCGTTGCCCTTTTTATGGAATGAATACTATTCGGGATGATTCGGTATATGTTCAGTTCTTGCTGGATCCAGGAATGAGGAACACTATCGAATGCCTTTTTTTAGTCGATCCAGGTCATGTTCAAGTATCTCTTCCTCTTTTTTGCATCTTCTGTCACCATCTTGCTTATTAGCAGCTGATCTTTACATCCTTTTGATTTCTTTTTGCACCCCTTCTGTTTGTCTGGCAGCATTTTGTTTGAAACGAGGTACTCGTACATTTTTTCTGACTCTGCTGCTGTCATGAGCTTGTAAAATGTTGGTAAACAAGTGATTGGCCGATAGTTATTTGGTGCCTGAGGATCTCCGCTTTTATAAATAAGGTATGTCGTGCCAGTTATCAGCCAGTCTGGAATTTATTATTATTATTATTATTATTATTATTATTCAAAGTAGAAAATGTTATCATGTTCTCATACGAAGATATCCGGAAATGGGGGAATTTTTGACATTTTCAATATTGCGAAAATTGGGCTTTCAGAGAAGAAGCAAGAAGTAGTGGTTTATTGTAGGAAAATAATAATTTACAAAGATATACATTCTCTTAATACGACTATACAATAAACACCGAAAACCCCAAGAAGATAAACTTTTGCTAGGCATTAACCATAGCTATTAAGTATAAACAGGAAAATGTTGACGAAGGTTTAGAATACATGTGCCAAAATATTTATATGCGATAATTCCATAGATGCGATCAATTTGGAATTTGAGTCAGTTTCAGGCCAAAAATTATAGACCCTGTTCCGTTCAAATGCTTCTCTTCTTTTGCATGTAAACTTTCGATATAGATATTTCAGAACATGTAATCGCTGGCCATCAGCAAAAGTCATAATGTAGAAACGCTCGTCGCAATATTTACGACCATGAACGGTCCTGTCAAGAAGAATCTCCTAAAATTCTCAGCCTTTGAGCTTGATTTCCTATAGGCCACAGATAGTAGATATTGTTAAGAGAACAGAAATTAATTAAGAATCCCCAGTTTACGTCGTAGCATTATGGAGTAAGCTTTTTCATTCGTTTAGTGAGGCTTACATCGCCTTTGAAATTTCACATTGTGATTACCAAGACTTTAGTTCAACTGTAGCATGGGGTTCAACTGCAAGCATTGACATGGCACATAGTAAATGGTTATATAGGTGATGGTGTTCACCTACAACTGAACTAAAGTGTCACAGTCTATTTTGCAGATGCGTTCCTAATTTCCTTTCTGGTCCTAAGATATTTAACATTAATCAGTGCGATAGTGACCCAAAAAGTGTCAGGACTGTGATGTGGGTAGCAAGATTTCTCTGGGTTGAGCAGACTCGGTGGCGTGGAGGCTCAAATGATAAGACAAAACAATAAAATATTAAAGTGTATTAACAAAACGCCGCGCTATAAAAGTAAAATGAAATGGAACAGCTATTTACTTTTGGCCAGGAAGGTCTAGTCCCATGAGGAGATATCCGCCCCGAGTGATCCCAGGGCAGGAATTGAAAAAGTAACTATTCGTTACGTTGATTATTCTGTTTTCCGTAACCGTACCCGATTCGCGTACAATCATTGATCGTGGCAACGCTGGTTTCTGCCCTTTCAGGCATCACTGAAGCACTGCCGCTCATGCATCAGGGTTGCCAGCCATCCCACCTTCGGGTGGAAACCTGGAAACTCTAGATTTAAAAACAATTATCAAATTCCATAGTACCATAGATCGGCGGCCGTTACGTATTTTGTTGATAAATGTTTAACATCAGTTTAATTAAGCGGCAACGGATTATATCATATGTGAACTTGGAAAGCACAATACCGCATTTTCTTTTTAAAAACTTTATAAACACTGGGATGGATGTTACAATACTGCATTCTACATATATGAATCCTTTTCGGTAGGGTGAAATGCTAAACTCATCTTTTTCTTTGCTAACAAAATCATACTTAAAAAAAGCTTTAATATGTGTTGTAAAATCCATGATAAAAGTTTAACATCAGTTTAATTAAGCGGCAACAGATTATATCATATCTGAACTTGGAAAGCACAATACCGCATTTTCTTTTTAAAAACTTTATAAATACTGGGATGGATGTTACAATACTGCATTCTACATATATGAATCCTTTTCGGTAGGGTGAAATGCTAAACTCATCTTTTTCTTTGCTAACAAAATCATACTTAAAAAAAGCTTTAATATGTGTTGCAAAATCCATGATAAAGTTCTGATTTACGTTTACAACTTTAAACGTTTTTGAAGTTCAACGTATGAGTAGCTCTTTCCATCCATCGGGAATATGGGCAGCGTATGCGTGTCTTGCCTTTTTTAGGGAGGACGCCAATATGTTGAATCTTTTGCACTAGTTTTTATTTATTTTTTGTTATCCAGGCGCTTATTGACACGGCTAGGACCAGGGCTTTTTGCACCACTCGGTACATATTCGCTTCCTCAAGATTGAAAAGGCTCCTCTTCTGACGACATTTTCTCGCCAAATATGACTTATTCCAGTGCGAACAACGCTTCGTTACTGTTAATTGTATACTAAATCACGCCATGCGATCCGAGAGCTAAATGACCACACGATCGGATCCAGACAAGTCCCCACCTAAACAAAATGACCTCGATGCAAAAAGCAGGTATGTTCTGAACTTGCCTGATTTTTATTACCAATACTTGATCAAGCAAATGAAATCCTATGTTGTTTCACATTAGAAGCGTTGGGCTTACGTAATTTTAGCACCAAACGATCCGCAATAATCGAAATACTTAGGATATTCGAAAAAGCAGTTTTTGATACAAATTGGACTTACATGGTTTTTGTTCCGAGGTCTTCAATTTTTTATTATTAAAACCTGTAACTTTGAATTGAGTAAATAGCTCCTCCATTTTATGCTCATCGACAGCTATTTGACGAACATTAGGGTCATATCTCGGCTAACGGTATTAAAGTGCTTTATTTTATGTTTTTTCGAAATTGCCCAAATTAAATGGATAATAAGGTTTTAGCCAGTCATTATAATAAACTCTCAACATTATCGTCACTGAACTGCTAATAACTTTTATTTTCTATTTTACTTCTTGCATGCATATCGAGTTAACCAGGTGCTTTAATTTGGCACATAAAAAACTGTCTTGCTTGATGCTCAATCCCTTACGGGTCTCTTTACACACACCAGCATCCAGTGGCTTCTGCAAGGTTATACGAATGAATTCAAAATTATATGTCGCCTGAAAATATGGTTTTGTAGATATACAATAATTGTATGCTCAACTGTTCGATTTCGGACACGTTCAAAACAAAGCGCAAAATCCGGTGGAAAATCCTCTTTGTTCACCGGCGTATTGAGCATTTTCGGCAATGTTAAAAAATGCCGTGATCAACGGGAGTGGTTTAATAAAGAGGAAAATATTCGCGAAATGAAAGCTGCGAAACATGAAGTTGTATTTGTCGACGCACTGCATGCATGCATTTCGCATTTTCACTGCCGTTCAGCTAAAGGACCGTCGAATAAAAATAAAAATTTTCTGACTGCTGCTGTGGAGGGTTTTACATGGAAAGAATGCGCCGTTCGCCGAATGCTAGTCGCCGGTGTTGTTGACGGAAAACTGTGAGAGCCAAATCGATTTTTACGAGCTTCAAAACTGCGTCTGTGGTTCATGAACAGGGACGTATCCCGCTATGATAGGAAAACGCACCCCGAAAAAAATATGAACAAATCAATAAAACAAATGCTAAGAATGTTTACAATATTGACGATACTTGTTTTTTAAAAGCACTTTCATTAAAGATACCGATCGAGCGTGACCATATATTCTGTGTCAAGCTGTCAACGTCAAACAGTGAAGGTCGTGGAGGAGGAAAGTATTACTTCACGTTCAACAAGTTCGGACTAGGTAGAAGGAGCCAGCCTATGATTCGTTTGTCGCCAAAATTACGTAGTCAGTAGTAGGGATGCAAGTTCATACTACAAGTCGATTAGGCTTAAGCCGCCAGTTTGACAGTTGATGGCATTTCACATAAAATTCGTACTTTTCTGCGAAAACGTAAGAGTGCTTTTGTTCTATACAGTCCTAGCATTCCAGGCAATTGCCGAAAGTGGTGAAAGCCTATGTGGATAAGTGTTATAGATTATAGTCACAGGCGTTGCAAAAAGGAATGTATGTACTCAACATTGGGATTTTACCCGAAGAGAGAGAGAGAAAATTTTGATTTATTTTATTCCACTTCCTGTTTCATCGAGCACTCAGTCCCAATCCAAGGGTTGTATACCTAACAAAAACCTTGAGAAATGCAAAATATTGGAGATACTCCAATTTTTGATATTAAAAATGGCCAACCGAAGCTTTAATCGAAGTGAGCTAAGCTAAAGTTTAACTTCATCTACTTCGATTATGAATCTAAAAGGTCTTGGGAAAATACTTTCGCGGTATAACTACTAATTTTACGATCTTATTTAACACTTCGAAGTGTTTTTCTTGAATAACTATGGTGACAACTACATAATAGCAGGAATTTCCATTTTTTTTACTCTAAGCTAGCCATATGATTTTAGTCCAGAAGTTTTAGAAAATTGTAATGTGTCCCACTATTATTATTACCAGTTGTTCCGCCATTGCTGCTATTTGATGGAATGTTTCGTATTGTTCACCTTCCAAGATCACGAATTAAGCAAAATTGTTTATATTTTTTAACGCTAAAAAATGTTAACGATCGTTTCTTTGCCATTTTAACTTATCTCTGTAAAGCAATAATTACAATAATCGATTATCAAATGAACTTACCTGTAAGTGATGTCCGATCTTAATTATGTGAAGTCCTCGTCGAAGTAAATATTATGAATATATAACGTAGTACCCTCGTAGCTTATCAAACTCACGAGTTCAAAGCGTGCATGTTGCGAAAGGAGCAAGCTACCATACCTGTCTGTCCCCTCTCCGGCCTATTAACTCTCATTTTCTTCAAAGCCAAGTTGTTGCAACAATTGGGCGAAACATAAGGAGCGATGGAGCTAATTATTTCGACTAGAATTGCACACAATTAAGGTCGAACATCACTTACAGGTAAGTTCGTTTGATCATGTAATTGTGTTCCGTCCTCGTCGCAGTAGATATTTAGAATATATAACGTAGATGTTCAAAGCTAGTTGCAACAATATACTACTAACACTCTGCAATAGTACACGATAGGTTGTACACAACTACAGAAATTGTACGCAATGTATGTGTCAACTAAATGTAACAACTCGGGTTAGGGCTTTTAACAACAGGTAAAACGACGTACATAGGTTCAAAAATTCCCATTTGTTACTTGATAACAAGCAAATAATGTATTAACCTACTCATGTTTAAGTTGTGGAGACTTGAGCAAAGCTATTTTCTAGCATAAGAGATTTGTGAGGTGTCTCAGAAAACACGCTCCAGCCCGCTGCGAGCTTGAGTCTTCCATAATTTAGTTGTGACACACGTAGGCCACTCTTTGCTGAGACAGACCTTATTATATATACACATATATATGCACATATATAGTAAGAACAGAGGCACCATGATAAAGTTACTTTACAGCGACAATAAATAGTTTGGCTGCACAGATATTTGGACGTAATTACGGTAAAACTAAAAGTGGTTGCCAGATGAGTAGCCCCGAGACTTTCAAAATCTGAGAGATCCCAATTTCAATATTATTCAACTAGATCCGGATGTTATCTGTTTGAATTTCTGACCTGACGTTAGGGTTAGCAGTGTTGCTGATTTCCTCATCCAAATATCTCCAGAGGTCACCAGCAACCCCTTTGGTTGGTTGAGAACAACCACAGTATCTATATTTCGGTTAAGATGGCTTCAGCCTGTAAATGCCCTTCAAAAACCTTATCTTATGCCTGCATCGTTAGTAGCATTTTGGGTAAAAGACTGATAGCACAAACAATTATATCTTAATTTCTTATCTCACTGTAAGGTGAGAAATTCCAAAGCAGAAAAGCAGACATTTTCTTCCCGACAAAGGTCCTACCGTAATCTAAGCCCACAATGATATGATTGGAATGACAACAACCAGGATAAGCTTCAGAATTATTGGGAGTGGCGTCCTGGATCCCTCCATCAGTTCTTTGCATTACTTCTAGACATTTAAGGGGCACATGAACCCAAATCAGGACTGTGAAAGGTGTAGCTCCAACTCCGTTTCCACGTCCCACTGACGCAAAACCTCATCTGAATCAGTATTACTCCTAGATTTTATATTTGATGCGAGGGCAGTAAGATTTCTCTCTTTACACAACTGGACGTGGAAGCCAGAAGCTCCCCATTCTATTGATGTAGGACATAGTTGTCACATGGTCAATGGGGTATAATATTCGACAGCCGATCCAGTCGGGAGCAAAGCATTCACAATCGAATAAAACTGCCAGTAGTTCTAGATAGTTAGCATGCTGAATATTGTTCTTGAGAAATTATACAACTAAAAATTGGATAATTCAGTACCTCTTACCGCACCTGCCAGTTTTTTTGAGCACCAGCCGAGGATTCTTAAGTTATCTTATGTTAGTGACATAGTAGCGTTAAAATTCTCTTGAGAATTTTATAGGCCAAGAAATTTCACCCGTTATTGTATAGTCGGCTGTAACGAAATGAAAGACAGGCTGATACTAAGATCCAGATGCTTACCGCAAAGTTTCGGACTATGTCTTGGTTGCTCTCCATTATTGCCCTTACTGGGCTTAGTAATGTCTGGCTCGTCCGCTCAAGTAAAGATACTGTCTTTCTGTCACAATTGAATACTGCGCCTAAAAGTGCCCAATTTTGATTGTGGGTCAAGCAGCGATATTTTTTTGTTTTGTTTAAAGTATGTTAGGAATGCTTTTATTAACTTTGTGATTGGCACAATTCACCCTAAACGGTACAACATTGTATTGGACGATCTGTCCCTTGAATATGAACCTCAAAAATACGAGTATATTCTATGACTCTCCCTAATGGGTACCATTATCTCTGTATATTCCAAATCCAGATTCGTTAAGAAAGAATCTCTATGGAGAAGTCTGATCCCAGTTCAGTAGCCTTCTAGCTTAAGTTTTCTATCCGTATAAACGGCTAAGTGTCTTGAGGCAAGGAATCGCACGTATTGACCCATCAGACCTGGGGGCAAGGAAAAGTTGGATAGGCGCTGATTTTTAGTTAGCTCCATTTTTTTACTGATAGCACCGCAGCTAAGCAATTGAGACACTGTCGAAGGTCGGTAGTTCATAGATGGACTGATGAGATTCAGCTATGGCAGAGTGCTGAACCAGTCGCCATGTGAATTGCACCACTCGAATCCACAAAGGACATTGGGGCCACTCCTAATGTTCTGAAATTGATGTTGAATACGCGTCAATCTCCCTGTTGATCTACGTACCTCATCTGCAATAATCGGTGTTGGCTGATGTTTTCAGTACACTGTCTGGGTCTAGAGGTGAGAGTATTGCCACTTGCTGTTAATGAACAACTCACATGTTGCTGTACAGAGACCAAGCGCGCCGTTCATCTTAAGTGGCTAGAATAGAACACAATTTATTCATCTATCGTCATCAACAAGACCTGCCCTCGAAATGTCAGCCTTGGAACAATGCGCGAACATTAATTAAAGTAAGGTCGCCGCATC